AGCCCAGGAGTTGGAGGTTGCTGTGAGTGTGATGCCATGGCACTCTACCCAGGGGGATAGCTTGGGGCTCCGTCTCAAAAAAAAAAAAAAAGAAAATGTAATATTTTGCAAAGCTTTTATTTACTTAATGAGTTGGGATTTTTAGGAATAAAAATAGGGAACTTGAATAAACTATGAGAAGTGATAAAGGAAATGCAATAAAACATCAAGGAAAAAATCATGTCAGAGACCAATTAAGCAGAGACAAGGATTTCCTGTGAACTGTGAAAAGATGCAAGTGTGACAAAGAGTTTAATAGGACTAATCTGACATACGTATAGAGTGGGAATAATCAACAAAATGTAATACATTTTGAAGAACTTAGTTTTGGGAATACTCACTTCACTTCAATGAGCGGAGCACTGTTCACATGCATATGCAGTTCTCCGTACATCTGATATAAACTAAGGTGACCAGATTTTTAACATTAGTAAAGAGGGACAACATTGGGGGAGGAGAGCAGGGCAGGGCCTGACAACAATGCGAACTTTGATAAGCAGTTCTCCATAATCACTTCTCAACAATCATTTGTTATTATTACAGTTTAACATTATAAAATTAACAAAAATAATATAAAACTCATATCTTGGCGAAATAGCCACATGGCAGCCGAAAACCGTATATTCCTTTCTCATTCTCCCGCCCATTCGTTCATTCTTTCCAAAAAGCGGGACTTTTTTAAAACGCTGGGGACACGGGACAAATTGTTAAAAAGCGGGACGTCTGGTCACCCTAATATAAATATAAATATGTTAAGGTGACCAGGTTTTAACATTGGTAAAGCAGGGCACTATTGAGGTGGGTGGGGGGCGGTTCTTAATTAAAAATTTGGTCTATATGGAGCAACAAAAATTTTTATAGAACCCAAAAATAGTATTGTAATATCTATTTTTTAAATTTCAACATAAGTACAATTTACAAATATAATACACTAAAAAAAATTATGTATAGGTCGGCGCCTGTGGCTCAAAGGAGTAGGGTGCCGGTCCACTTGGGCTACCTTGCCCAGGAGGGGAGTAGGGAGTTTACATTAGCTTTTTTCATTTCCAAAGGAAGTTACATTAACCTCTTCATTCCCAAATGGAGTTACATTAACCTTTTCAGCAGCCTTAAAGTATATTCCCTTACCATTGTCCTGCCTAGCTTGTCGTGCATTCTTTCCAAAAATCGGGAGTTTTTTTAAACGCCGCGGGACGCAGGACAAACTGATAGAAATCGGGACTGTCCCGTCAAAAGCGGGATGTCTGGTCACCTTAAAATATGTCTGTCATATTCATAAAAAGATTCTTGGCTGTTGCCTTTGTTAATGGGACTACCAGTAAGTTACAGGTCAGTGAAACTAATGAAAAGTAGCAATTCCGTTAGTAAAAGTCTTCACGGGCCTGTGGCTCATGCCTGTAACCCGGAGCGGCCCAAGGCTCCGCATTAGCGCAGCCAGGGTGGCCAGCACAACCCGCCTAGTCTGCGTCCAGCCGGCGCCGGACCCGCCTCCAGCCCCCAGGGACCACCTACCGCGCGCTCCCCCACCCCCACCCCCCGCTGAGAGTTGCCTAACGACCGCTAGGCGACTGCGTTACCATCGAGCGGAACGGAAAGAGCGGCGCCTCACGACTTCCGGAGGATGCGGGCAGTACCGGAAGTCACGGGGCGGATCGAGGGAGGCGTGGTCTCCGAAGTTCATGGCGCGGCTGTTGCTAGTACCCGACCTATTTATGCGGCCTCCGGGCGGCCAACTTTGGCGTCTCTTGCCTCGTGGACTCGGGCTTTGGGGCCCGGCCGAGGAAGCCGCGAGAGTGTTGCTGAGGCAGTTCTGCGCGCGGCAGGAGGAGGCGTGGTGGGGTTCGGGACTGGCTGGCAGGTGCCTGGGAAGCCGGCCCCTCAGCACTGGAGTGCCACCAACCCCCGGGTTGCCAGGGCCAGAGCAGCAGGGCCGCAGAGACCCCACGCGCCCCTCGAAGCCCGGGGTGAGTGCGTACCTGGAGCTCTTCCAGTGCTTGTCACGCTGTGGGCTCGCTCGTTGGTCATAACCTGAGAAACTACTGGGCCTGACCTAGAATTGCCCTTAGTGCCACCTGAGTCATAAAATCTCATCCTGCGTTTCCCTGGCCTTGCCGGTAGTCCCAGTCCTTAAGAGAGAACCTACAGCTTCTCTATGTGATTAAATAGATACTCAGCCTTGTATTTTATGTTAGCTTTTGCATCAGAAAAATAACATGAGTTTCAGGTTTTCTGAACCTTGTTTACCGTAATCGTGGAATCAGAACACGTTTTTAATTTCTGTCACTTAACCCCCTTCAGATACAACGTGTATATGTCGAAATTGAAACAAAAAGTGGATCTTAGTTACATACTGATAAGTCTTTTGCTTGGGTTCCTCAGGAGTTCTAGTTCCGACCCCAAAAGTCCTTAAGAGCCAGTGCTCTCCAGCCATAGGTAAGAGAAGTGGGCTTTTGGAGCTGGGGGAAAGCTAATGAGTTAGGCCTAGGTGGCCAACACCTTCCTTTTTCAGAGACTTGAAAAAGTACAAAGAAATACTGGATGTATCTAACAAGAAGCCCCACTTTTAGACGTTTTTCCTATTTTGAGTTTTTTAATTCTGAAAGCCAGAGTTATATTAACCTTAAGTGTTTTATTTATATTCTCAATACCAGCTCAAGCAGGTAATAGGTTTTTAAATCAACAGTTGTGACCAAGGACACACATAATAATAATCTTGGTATAGGAACTTCATTGGGTGTTTTTGTCACATGAACAGAGTCTGAACTCAGGAACATTCCCCTGAAAATGAGTGTCCTTGTAATAGTTTGTATTCAGTTCCCAGAACTAACTTCATCCACAGTAACTTTCACTGTTTTCTTATCCAAGAAATTTTTTGCACATTTAATAAGATCAGGTGTGTGTACACATGTTAAAAACTACTATAGTAAGTTTAGTATGGTTAAATGTTTGCTTCTTACCAGGGTTTTATTTTTGAAATCTCTGTCCCAGTAGCCTGTTTCCTGGAAGTCTTTAGCAGTCACATTTGCTATTGGAGGAGCTTTATTGGTTGGAATGAAGTACTTCAAGAAAGAAAAGGAAGAAAGTGAGTAGATGTCATGGTCTCATGGTCAGTTTTGAATAAAGTCCTTCTTGGCTGTGGACTAGCATGTTTTTGTTGTTCTTAAACTTTTTATTTTGAAATAATTTTTGATTTATAGGAGAGTTGCAAAGAAGGTATATAGAGGTCCCATATACCTTTCACCCAGCTTCTCCTAAAGTAAGGTGTTAGCCTTACATTACCATGGCACATTTGTCAAAATTAAGACAGTTAACTACACAGTTTATTTGTATTTCATCTGTTTTTCCATCAGTATCTTTTGTCTGTTCCAGGATCCGATCTAGGATACCACTGCCTAACAGTAAAAGACGTACTGTTGGACAGATTAACATGTGGGAAAGATGAAGTGAGGAGAGTACAAAGATGACTAAGATACAGTCCAGCCCTTGAGGTGCACATGGCAGAGAAAGACACAGAAGTAAAGGATTTCTCTATTAAAGGCCAGAGGGAAGCTTAGGATGCTCTTTGAGCCAAAGGAGGACCCAACATTGGGATTTGAGAAGGCTTCCTAGGGATGAGGCATGGGGAACAGTGTGAGTGGATGCTGCAAACCAGTGGGTATCAGCAGAGGAAGAGGCCAGAGGCTAACCGTGAGTGAGAGAGAGAGAGTGAGCCTGGTTAGGGAATAGCAAGAACTACTCTTGACTAGAATCTTGAAACATTAGAAAATTTTTCATAAGAACTTTATATTTTAGTGAAGAGTCTAGGACTTTCAAGATATGGCTTAGGAATGTTAGGTAGATCTTTAAGGGATTGCTTAAGTCTTTTTATTTTTGACTTTAGAGTTTTCTTTTCTTTTCTTTTTTTTTTTTTTTTT